ATGCTTGCCAGGTAAGCCCTTACTCTACTGAGCTATCTCCCCAGCCCTATAAATGAAACTTTTATCTTTTTTTTTTTTTTTTTTTTTTTTTTTGGCAGTACCAAGGATTGAACTCAACCCTGCGCTTACTGAGCTGTCTCCCTGGGCCATCACCTAGCTTTGGGCATATTGCTAAATGAAACACTCATTCATGAAATTTGTAATTACTCTTTCCTAATTTGTGCTGAAAGCCAAAAGCAGTGACGTCAGGTTATGTGCCCTTTGGATGGAACACCCGTGTGCCATTTCATTCACATGCATGATTAAAGCTCGACAGTAACATGGAGGATATGGGGGAGCTTTTTCTCCAGAAAGCGATAACTGTGTCACCACCAAGGAGTGAACTGTAATGCAGACTCTAAATTTGAAGTGAGCTTTTTTCCCTAATCAGCTAATCAGAAATTACTCAGGCAAGAGCCCTCAAGAAAATCATTATTTATTTTAATTCTTCATTTTTGAGTGAAAATTTATTTCCTGTCTTACGCAGAATAGTAAGTAGCAAGGCAGGCAAGTTGAAAGCCATAGCTAGTCATGACTAGAACTATTCAGTGTTTTGTTTGACACATTTTAGAATTACTTCAGTTCTGTAAATTCCTTACATATGGCATTCAATTATGCTAAATAGCCAAATAAACCATTCATGATCCAGACTGTATTCCAGCAGCCTGTAGCATATATCTGAAGTTCCCTCCATTTGAGGCTCTTTTGAAAGCATATACGTTAAGGGAGAGCAGTTCTCTAACTGCTTGAGTCACTGTAGGCCTCAGGAGCCAGTCTGTGCGGTGGGGTCAGGCGTGAGCAGAATGGCCCCCTGCTGTGCTAGCTCCTACCTGGCTCCCTCTAACTGTGCCCAAGAGACAGAAGAAGGGTGTGGAGCACACATTGCCTCCCGGGCAGGAGGTCAGTAGACAGTTGTACTATCTTGCTTTTGAATACAGCACGATGAAGGGCGCGACTGTTGGTAAACTGCATCCATGTAAAAATCTTAAGGAGACAGTGGTGGTCGACATTTCCAGAGAAATCACAGTGACTCGGTTCTTTTAAAGGCATGTTTCTGAGTGTAGTTGCCAAAATCATTTTTTCTTGTGATGTTTTACTTTCAAATAATACCATTCTAGAATATCAAAATTTTAAGTTAAATTTTTTTTAAAATTAAAAAGAATTTGAAATATGCATATTAAATAATATTCCAGATTAAAAATGTAAGAGCTAGGAATTGAAGGAGACAAACAATTATGAAACTAGAGCTTTACAACACTGTGAAGCTCTGTTTCAGATGCTTTGAACCAGACACTTGGCAGCGCCATAATCCTGCTAATTGCCTTCCTGTGTATATGTTTCCATTTACCAGCTCTGTTTGGGCTAAAATGCAATCATTTTGGTAGGATTTGGAATATATCAATATTCCTCCCTTCCATGCCCGTCATATAGAACTAATAGTTTCTACACGCAAACTACGATTTGTCTCTAAAGGATTTTCCAAAATGTATTAGTGTTTATAAAACAGGTGAAATCCAGAACACTATACCTTCCTATAAAATACAATGATAACAGAACCAAAGGCAAAGACCCGTAAGTCCCCTGCTGTCAGCATTGGGGCATTGAGGCCCACAGGCCTGACACCCTCCACTCTGGTGACGTGCAACCCTTGGGAACCCATGCACTTCAGACTCGTTTCCTTGGCCACAAGTGCACCATGTCAGTGTTGAATGCTACCACCCACAGAAGTGCTTGTACCCTCATAAATCTACGGATGTGATGGTGCATGCCTGTAATCCCAGTATTTGGGAGGCTGAGGCAGGAGAATTGTTGAAGTGAGACCAGCCTGGGCTACAAAGTAAGCAGAAGACCACATAGCAAGACCCTGAACTACATAGCAAGACCCTGTCTCAAAAAGACAAAAGAATAATAATTAACAAATCTTCAGTGGGTTCAGGATTTGGAGACAAAGATCTTTGAAACTGCTGTGTCCATCCCCCTCCACCTTTGACCTGCTGCCTGCATGCTGCACAAAACTGGCAGCAGCCTTTTCCAGAGACACACCTATCATACCTGTGTGTCACCACGGCAGCCTGGCTGTATGCCCCCAGGCACCCCAGATCAATCTGAAAGCATAGGGTTTGCCATCTGGTATCTTGAAACAGTTCTCTGACACAGTTAGAAGTAGGTACAGCTATGAGCCTGGACCACCCTGACCCCATAGGTGGGATGCGTGGAGGCCAGCACCGTGCTGTCATGTCCGCACCATGCACACCACACCTGTGTGATACGTTCTTTTCTACAAGAAGGCAGTTTTCCTTCTGATGGGAATATCAGAAGGAGGGTATATAACCCTTTTTAAATCTTGTTTTTAACAGTATCTTGAAAAATCTCAGTTTATCTCTGGTTTTCTCTTGATTTACCACATGAATAGTGAGGAGCAAATGCATGGATCCACCAGCAATTAAGAACTTTGGGGGCCAGGGACATGGCTCAGTAGAATAAGCACTTCCCTGGCAAGCGCAAGGGCCTGAGTTCAATCCCTGGTTCAAAAAAATAAAAAAATAAAAAAGATAAAAATTAAATTAATCCTAGGCAACACATACACATATTAAAAAAAAAAAAATCTTTGCGTAGCGCATTACGCTTCTCAGCGTTCCTAGCGTGCACGTCTGAGCGTGCCATCGCAGACCTCGATGCCTGGAGCTGCAGGCCTGTCCCCGATGACCCCGGGACTGGGCCTTTCTGGCACTCTGTGCCCTTCCACCTTTCCAGCACGGAGTTGTCATCCTCCCTTGCCCTAGAGAGCCACAGGTGATAGCTCTGCTGTGCTGTTTCTCCATGACATAGGAACTTCTAGTTTGGCTCACAGGTTATTGCCTTGATGCAGTTGTGAGGTGTCATAACAGCACCTTAATGGCCAGCTGCTCTGTGCATGGCCGTCTGTGAATAAAATCAAAAGGTCACTAGTCATCCCATGTGAATGGCTGCTGATTCCTTCTAGCTAAGCCCACTGTGCTGATAAAAGTGGACATGTTCCCAGATCCTAAAATTTAAGACAGTTTCTAAAATACCTGAATACATGATCTTCAGATCTATGTTTTTAGGTGTCTGTACTTTCATCAGATGTACTGTACATCTGTAGAAGAAAATCAGGATTGGACCCCGAAAAGAGCAGGCACAGGCATCCAGTGGACCTAGGACCCTGCCCCAGCTGCCCCACTCACTGTCTTTCTCCATCAGCAGCCTGGCGGCAGAACCAGGGACAATGTGGGTAGACTTTGTCCAAACAAAGGGTGTTGGTTGGAGAGTTTGGACAACAGTAAGAACAGCATTTCAGCAGGACTGGAAAAAGGAGACTGTTAGCTTCAAGCCTCCAGGACCAGGCCTACCTCTGTCTGCTAGCTGGCCCTTCTGCCCAGGGTCCCCCGAGTCCGCACTGATACTCTGCCACAGTGTGGGTAACTCCCTGGTGAACTGTGCTGTGGTCACCATACATCTCATTGTGGATGGTGGCTTTGGGCGCTCCCAGAACTGTTCCTGTCTATCTTGGCATCTGCCATATTCCTTTGGAATTCTTTGTGCTTTAGTCTCTGTCTCTGCCTCACTGTAAAGACTGAAAAAAGAGTGATTTTTGAGCATGCCTGTAACCCAGCGCCCTGCATAGTCATCCTAGTAAATGCCCATCTGAACATGAAAATGTCCATATGTAGGTATCAGAAAAGAAACTTATTGGTCAGAAGTATGACTGGTTTCATCACTCATTTGAATTAACATATATTTTTTTTAGTTTTAAGTGGTTTTCCAGAAACAAAGTATACTCAAGTCTGACCATGTGTCAAGAGTTGCTTCATGTGTGTTTGTGTGTATGCGTACTTATAACTCTTTCTAAAAAGACTAGCTCTTTTGAAAAGGCATTTCCTGGGTAAGGGGTGTAGCTCAGTGGTAGAACTCTCTTGCCTGCCATGCATGAAGCCTTGGGTTTGATCCTCAGCACTGCAAAAAAATAAAATAAAATAAAAGCATTTCTCCCAGAAAGCAATGAACCGTGCATGAGGTATAGTAATATTGGAAGCCCATGCCTTTAGCCTCATTACGTTTATATAATGTACTGTTGTTCAGATCCTCAAGCACAGATTAAATATGATAGGATATAAGTTAGTGCCACAGAAAATATATTTGGGAAGTAGATGAAATAATGTAGAGATAAACATGAGAACAGAAATCTAGTAAGTGGAAGGAAGTCGGAGAAGGTCAAAGTAGATAATAAATACTTGAAATTGATCTTTTACCTAAATAAAACATCATGTATGTCATGCACATCCAACTTCCATTGGAATCTGTGTTAGCTTTCCATCACTGTAATAAAATACCTGAGATAGTCAAATTAAAAAGAACAGTTTATTGTGGCTCACAGTTTGGAGGTTGTAGTCCATGGTCATTTGGTTGAATTGCTTTGGCACCTGTGACTAGGCCACATCTCTTGGTGCAGACACACGACAGGAAGCTGCTGTCTCAAGGAGAGAGAGGAGGCCAGTCCCCAGTGCCTCAAACTTCCCACCTCCCTGCTGCCTGTCAAACACCGACGTTGGAGACATCAAGATCCAGCCCTGGCAGAATCTTGAGCCAACGTTAACTACAATGGGGAAGAGTTTTGTGTGGAGTAGAGTGTGAACACTATTTTGGTCTGGCTTTATTTTCTATTTCAAATCACTACACATCTCTGTGTCACATCTGCATGTTCTGAAATACTCATTTACCAACTGCAGGCAGATAAATACTTCTTTCTTAATGTAAAGTTAGTCAACACTAGTTTTCCATTTGCAGGTGTGAAAGCCTAAAGCAAATAGCCCAGAAAACCCAGCTGGATTTTTGTGGACTATTAGCCAGGATGCCACTTAGAAGAAGCTGCCTCTTGCTCCTCCTCAGACCTGTGGGAGCTGGCCCTGTCTGACTGGTAACTCTCCACCTTCCTTTTCTAGTGGCATCGGGAGAAACTGGCCATGGGCCTCCGGAGGCAGCAGCATTCTGGCGGAATTTGGGACGCTGCATCTGGAGTTTATGCACCTGAGCCATCTGTCAGGAAACCCCATCTTTGCTGAGAAGGTGATGTTCTCTGCACTGCTTCGCAGGCTCTGCCTCCTCAGACCACCCAGCCTGCCACTCCCACTCTGCCAGCTGCCCCAGTAGCCATGCTCAACTTGGGCTCCCATGATGGCCTGCCAGAACTTGGTGGCTTGAACAACAGAAATGTGCTTCCCACTGTTCCTCGAGGCTGAGGAGGGCGAGATCAGAGTGTGGATAGGTCGGGTTCATGCCAAGCGTTTCTGGACCCTGTGTCTCTCTTGAGCTTTTCGTCTGCACAAAGCAGGAGGTCACTCTTCTGTCTGTCAGTATGAGGGCTCTGACCTTGTCATGAAGGCTGTATTGTTCTGACCTGACTTCCCAAAACCCTTCACTGAGGCTCAGGGTGTCCGGCTGGCAGCTTGGGGGAGGGATGCTACTTGGGCACTTCGACTTCATCTGTGTAAGCACAGACCTAGTCCCTCTGTGGGTGGGCTCTGGGGACCATAGATATCGGCCACCTAGTGCTCACTTAGTGCTACTATTTTTGTCATAATAGTAAGCTGATGGCACTGCCTTTGTTCTAACTCTGAAATGTTTAAGTCACCTCCTTTGTCTGAAGGGTAAAAATATAATCAGGAAAGAAAAAATGGCATGAGAATTTTTTCAGTTTGCATAGTAATGTTTCATTTTCTGTTGTAGGTGATGAATATCCGAACAGTACTGAACAAACTGAAAAAACCCAAGGGCCTTTATCCTAATTACCTGAACCCCAGTAGTGGACAGTGGGGCCAACGTAAGTCTGAAGCTCTTCATTCCTTCAGTTCACAGGGCTGTGGGGCACAGGAATAGAGCACAGAGGGCTCCTTTCACACACAGTCTGCCGTAGGAGCACTCGCAGGAACGAGTGTGTCACCTCCATGTCAAAGTGTGAGTATGGGCATGTGTGAGCACACTCGAAACCATTAGCCAGAAAGAGATCTGCTCCGGGAGTGTGTCAGGCTGCAAGAAGCCGGTCAGGTGCAGAGGGAAAGGGTCTCCTGTGCTGAGGACAGGGATTTTCCCAAGTAGCTAGATCATACTCCTGTTCAACATGTTCTCTCTTTCTGTGTATTGCTGGGGAATTAGAGGCACAAACAGTGTTTTGTGGACTTAGTGTTAAGCTAGTAGACAAAGACTGTTAACAGGACAGCTACCTTTAATGTAGTGTCACACAAAGACCTGATGCTAGAAGCCCCCACTTCTGACTTCAGACTACTTTGAGTGGGGCTGTAAGACCCGTGAGTGAAGGCCAGGTTCCCAAGGCAGCTTGGGGCTCCAGGGGTAGGTGAAGTAGCAGCTGAAAGCAAGTGAGGAGTATTGAGCAAGCCCACAGCTGTGGGAAGGGCTTCACGCTGCCTTCAAGTCTTCCTCTAGTTTGACATCTACATTTAAAGACCATATCCTTAGGTGAGCATGCCACACTGCTACATGCTGACAGCCACACCTGCCTGGTGGTGGTGGTCTCAGAAGGCCTCAATGTACTCTACCACCACTTAAAAAAAGCCAGCCCCACTGTGAGTATTCTTAGTGAAGCAGCAAACAGCTGTTGGCTCAGGTGCACGTGGGGTGCATTGATGGCAGTGGGTGTTTCCTGTGGTGGAAGAAGGATGTGCGGAAGGGCTCCCGCGTGTGCTTGAGCGGTGAGATCGGTGCTGCCGACTCACAGTGGCTGATGTTTGCTGTCCCTGGGGCTACTGTGACTGTTGTTTCATGGGTCACTGTTTTTATGTGAGAGAATAGCTAAAAACAAACCAGTTATTCAGACTTAGGTAATTGGTAGACATGTTCTTGAAAATAAGCCTGTCACTTCAAGGAAAAGTGACAGAATTTGAGCCAATGATGAAATTCAAGTTTCTAACTAAAAATTAGATTCTTGGAAGACACAGATCTGCCACAGGAATTTGACACCAGTAGTCTTTTGATGAGATTGATGGTGATCCGAACAAGGGGTTGTGATAGTGTACAATGAAATGTGTCACCACCTGGAAGATTTATGTAACTCACAGTGTGGTGTTTGCAGTGACCAGTGCTGCTGTCACAGAATCATGCATGAGAAAAGTGTCACTCAGACACAAGACAGGCCGAGAGATTCTAATGTAACTGAGGGCAGCGTTTTTGGTGCAGCTCCCAATTCTACATTGCAACTCACCTTTAAAAAAATAACTTAACCTTGAAACAACCACTTGTCATGTTTCATAGCATCAAAATAAATATCCACGATTATCTCACAAGGCTATCAAAATACTCTTCCTTTTCCTCCCGGTAAAGCTGTTCAGGGCTGACAGTTCTTCATGTGTTTTAGCCAGAACAACACAGAGCAGTTGACTGAAGCTCGAGGAGACCTGGGAGCCCAGCTGCCCTCTAGGAAAGAAAACATGAAGAAGAGGTGCAAAATGGAAAGCAGGGTCAATCTTCCTACTGTTTTTTGTAAAATAACATTTTATGAAAATATTTATATTAATATCATGGATATAATAATTGCTGTTTTTAATAAATCAAAAAGCTTTTAAAATTATGGTTTAATTTTCCAATAGCATAAATACTGAAAGTGCTCATATCAGCAAATTCCTCAGGGTGCTTGTTTATTTTTAAGCCTGTAAAAGTCCTGACATAAGTCTGAGGACCCCCAGAGTGTTGGGGTGCAAGATGACACAGTTGTGTAGGAGGGTGACTGCTTTGGAGTTGTCCAGCACAGATCTCAGGGGTTGGAGGAAGAAGAGTACCTAGGAGTCACTGATGCATTTCTTTAGGATTTGGAAGTTCCTATGAAGAGGGACAAGAAGCCAGGTCATGGGAAGCCTGGCTTCCCTTCCTGGGTCCCCGGACCCTGTGTATTTGGCCTCTCCCTGGCACATAGAGCTCTTCTGTTGGGCTGCTTGTGGGCAGTTTCCTTAGGGAAACTCAAGGGCTTGCTCAGCCTCACGCCCTCCTCCCCTCCGTCCTGGGCTCCAGCCCCAAGGAGATGTGCTTAGTTTGCTCTTCTTTAATCAAGGCTGCCTGGCCATGCAAACCTAAATGGCTGTTTCCTTGGCCTTGCTTCCTCCTTCCTGCACCAGGGCCCAGCTTGGTTGCCATTTCTTCCAGAAGCTTCTCCAAGGGCCCATATGGGGGTTGTCAGCGTCCACCCCAGGTCATCTGCCTCCTCTCCTGCCCCACTGCACTGTGGGTGCTTCTTGTCATGACCACTTTCCTGACAACTCAACATACATCCCCTCTTCCTCTGAGAGCTCTCATGAGGGTAGCCCACTTGGGGCATCATGCGTGGAGATCACACACAGCGTCTTGGGACTAATCCACGTTTACTTCATTGAATTTTGCGAAGATCATGAGCTTTGTGTGTCCTTCAGCCTCTGTTCCTGCTTCCTAAGTTGCCCCTGCTCCTCAGCTGTGGCTCAGAGACAAGAGCCTGTCCAGGCACTGGTGCTAAGCAGTCTATAACCACTGGTGCTAGCTGTGAGATCCATGTTGTGTGACCACTGGCATCAGTAACGGATTACATCAGGAGAAATTTAGGTTCAGGCATGCTGAATGACTATAGGACAAGTTAGGCATAAAAACACCATGTATATTCTCCTAACAGTGGGAGCCTTTTCCTGCTGGGAACCCTGGTGTCTCCCCAGACCCACTGCAGAGTTACAGGGACCCTGTTGCTGTTCCAAGCAACATCCCCAGCAGGGAGCTCAGTGAGCCTGTGATGCATCACCAAGAAGGTGTGTTTTCACCTCTGCTCCCTTTCCAAATGTGAAAGGTTTTATAAGCAGAGAATATAAAAACTTAGCAAAATTAATTAAAACAAACACCACTACTTGATCCCTTTTTAAAATGAATCTCCAAACTCCAGATTTGTCTCTTCTACCTATTAGAGAATCGTAACCCAGCAGAAGTCAAGCTGCTCGGGCTACTGCTTTTTAGCTCGTTGCTTTAACTGCGAAGGACACGTATGGATCAGGGCTGTCCTTCCCCACCACTGGGCTCTGTCCTTTGCGTGGTGACAGTCACTGGACAGTGATTTGCTTTCCCATGCATCACTGGCGTTTGTCTCCTGCGATCATGTTTACAGCGAGAGAGCTTGCTGTTGATAAGCTGATACTCGGTCTGTTTAGTTTGTAAATGTCAGAGGTTCTTGTGATTTATTTAGGAAGCTATAAAGGTCACTTTGAACACTGCTATTTTAAGAATTAGACTTACAACCTTAGGAACACATTTTCCATTAAAATTAATTAATATAATTCTGGACTTTCTGCAGTAAGAAAATTGCATATGTAAGTAGTTAAAAATATGACCCTTCCTGCCTGAGGGTACAGTCTTTATAAAGGTTAATTTAGGAGAACTTTTATTTGTCCCCTCATCATGTGTTTATCCAGGGCAGGATACTTTCTGGGCACTGATGTGGACTGGGAACAGAAAGGGCCTGGTCTTGGCTCTCGGAGACAAAAGACAATTTGGCCACAGTGGGAAACCACAGGAGTGGTTGTGTGCTCTGCTAAGGCTGATGATGGGGTACCTCGGTGTCAGCAGCTCCTGGGAGGCCATCCACGGTACCCATAGGAAGTACGCATACCTCAGGCAGGCAGAGCAAGGCCTGGAGGAGCCCTGACGGGCAGCACATGCTGTTCTTGAAGAACCAAAAGGACCATGTGGCAAGGGATCAGCAAGCAGTGGGGGAGAACACTGTGTCGGAGCAATGGCCCTCGTTGCAGAGCCTCTGGGCTCCAAAGACCAGGGCTGAAAGGCCAGGGGTGATGGGACTCACACATCAAGAGGGCCCTCGCCAGGCACGCAGTGTGGGAGCTCCAGCGAACCTCTGTAGTGCAGGTCACCTTCCTGGACTTTCTGGTTCCATGCAGCAGCAAGAGCACATGCAGCTGCTGGGTTCTCTGGGCTTTAGGAGATATAAGTGGAATCTGCTTCTCCCCATGCCAGAGGAAAGGCTGGCAGTTCTACGGCCACTGCAGACACAGAGGCACGGGGAGGGGCCAGGGGCCAGCAGGGCCAGGATCACAGTGAAGGCAGGAGTGTGTGGGCTTGGGCTTGGGAGATGGGGAGGTGGGATTCAGGGCCTGGGAACACGGGTGTGCTGAGCGACGGGGACAGGCAGGGGTGACTGTTGTTTGTTGTGCTGCTGGAAGTTAAACCCAGGCCTCAGGAGCGCTTGGCAAATCCTGCCCCCAGCACCACAGCAGCTTTGGGGGAGACCTGAGCGGAGGTGACAGTGACGGCAGGCGCTGAGCTCAGCTGCCTGTTCAGAGCTTGATGCCCATGTAAATGTCCAAGAAGCACCGACAGCAGTTGCAGAGCTGTGGCCTTCATTGCTGCAAAGATACCACTGTGCTTTGTGTAACTGGCAACAAATGCCTCTAATAAATAAAAGTTCTCAGGAAATGTAAGCGTTGAAATTATCTCAATTCTAGGAATGCTGTTTCATACAAGTTGCATTTATGGCTTTATAAAGAAATGTGCTTTAAAAATAAAAAAATTAATTTGGGCCATAGATTTTATGCATTTTGTGGCAGAGAGCTGGCAGATGTAGACATGGGCCCTGTGACTTGTGGACGAGCCAGCGCTCATCCGGGCTGAGGCCACTGCCTCAGCCTCTGTCCTCTCGCTTTGGAATGAGGAGCCCTGCCTGTGGCTGCAGCATGGCAGCAGGCAGGAGGAAGGGCAGGGCACCTCAGGTGGAGGTCAGGAGCAAGAGCTTCGGCCCACCTCTCCTGCTCCTCTGCCCCACTGGCTTCTGACCGCTCTGATTGTAGCACTGGAAAGATGAAAAAGGCAAGAACCTCAGGAGCGCATCACTTTTTTCCAAGTCACCTTAGGAAGATTTGCTGACATTCATAGCTTTGGCCAAATTTCACATTAGTCAAGACAAAAAAATGCACATAAACCTATACTGTGAACAGTAACTTGGTGCTTGTGCTGGTGAAGCAGGCTTCTGCATGTGTTTGTCACTGTGTTACACTGCCACCCTGGCCATGCTGAGGCTATATCCCTACGTGCAGCCTTTTCACCTCCTTGTCGCAGCACACCTTCTGCCGGCAAGAGATGTGTAGGCCTTAAATGTGGTGCTGAGCTACAGGGGACGTAGGACTTGCATCCTTGTTGCTAATGGGGCTTTGCCTCATTCTGTGAATTCAGGCTAGGTCACTGAAACCCACTCCCTTCTCTTTTCAGATCATGTGTCGGTTGGAGGACTTGGAGACAGCTTTTATGAGTATTTACTCAAAGCGTGGTTAATGTCCGATGAGACAGATCTGGAGGCTAAGAGGATGTATTTTGATGCTGTTCAGGTAACCCAAAATTTAGATCCTCTTCCTCTCTAACTTGTAGCTTGCATATTCATCAAGCTGTCATGAAAAAGTGGAGTACTACGTGAGTGGGTTACAGGATACTTTCCGTCGGGTAGAGTCCAGTGTCTGCCAGGACAGCAGGTAATACAGGTAATAATCGTGCCGCATGCACTTCATTCTGACCAGGACACGGTCATTCACTTAAGAACACTGGTTATCCAGGTGATGGAGTCAGGAGCCACGCAGCATCCAGTCAGGGACAGACTGCTCATGAGACAACAGCCGCAGAGACGACTGTCCTGCGACTACATTGGCTACACTGCCTGAGATTGCAGACAGTCCCACAGTAAACTCGCCCTCTGAGATAAGTGTCAGGACTATGAGGAAGTCCACGTATGAAAACCTGAACAGACTGATCCTCAGATCCAGGAGTAGTTTCCACAGACCTCGCCGACACAGGTCTGGGATGCTCCGAGAGCGCTGCATTTCTGAGGACATGGAAGGCTGCTGGGTTTTCTTAGTGCTTCAGGTAATAGTCACCCAGTTTTCCTGGTGAGGCTGTTGAGGCCCAGAGAGGTTATGCATGCAAACAAAATGAAAAGTAAAATGTCAACATTTGTCCCCTTCTGCCTCGTCAGTAGGGTTGGATTGTGACCCAGACTCTCCATGCCACATTTGCAGGTATTGACAGGCAGTGAGTTAGGAGCTACTTAACAAAGCCTACAGGAGATGCCATGCTGGAAGTAAGTGTAAGAACCATCTCAACTGAGCTTCAACAAGAAGCTAAAGTGAGGCCAGAAAACAGATTGAAGAATTGTTTTGTATAACATGTTTGAACTTATACCCAACTTTTCATAAACACAAATATTCTGCAGAATCATGTGCTTTGTGATTAAGAGTTTATGTGGGTAACTACTATGTAGTCTTTAATATTAATTATAAAGGTTCTCAAATAACATGGTAAAACCGTGACCGAATCCTCAGAAAATTGACTTTTTGCTTGGTTTCTAGAAAACCATTTTATAACCAACAATACTAGTTCACAGAACAATGGACATGGCCAGTAGTGTGGCCGTTGTTCTGAGTGCATCTCTAGTGAGGTCCAGGTGACTTTGACACAGCTCTGGCTCCTTTGTCTAAATAGAAATGTAGCTGGCTTTGAGCTGGCTCAGTAGGCTGAGTGCTCCCTGCCCCCCCCCCCACGTTGGCTGGCAGCCTCATCAGGCAAAGCATGGGCATCTTTTGCTGCTGCCCTAGAAGGCTCAGGCCCTGGCCTTCCCAGGCCAGCCTGTGTCAAGGACAGCCTGCGTGGGGACATCAGAAACAGCTCGGCTGTGGCCCTCAGGTCTTCTTGCAGTGAGGTTTGCTCTCCTGTAAGGGCTCAGGTTTGGATCCAGCAAGTTCATCTATATGGTTTCCATGGTGCCCTCTTCTGATTGCTCTACTTAGAGTGGTCTCTGTGGTCTTTGTGTTCCAGGACAGGCAGCTTTAAAACATTCTTTGGAATGTTTTCCTCCTAGTGTCTAGAACTCTACTTATGCAGCTTTTAGCATTTTCTCATTAGACAAATCGTTGACAGCAAAATCCATTAAGAACAAATGAAGTCCAAGTATTTCCTGCTTCTCTTCATAGTGGAAACATTCCCTATCCATTATGTATTTCAACTTAAATAGTGAAACTAAAACAACTGAAGTTGGAATTTGCAAAGTAGCGCTGCCTTGCAGGGCAGGCCTTCCTTCACTGAGGCTATGAGAGCATCAGGAGCCAGGTGCTTGGTACATGCTTGTAGCACCAGCTGTGTGGGAGGCTGAGGCAGAAGAGCTGCTCGAGCCCAGGAGTCCGAGGCCACCCTGGACAACAGACAAGATCCCCACCTCACAGAAAGAAAAACAGTAATTCTTACCAAGGGGAGGCTGCCCAACCCTATTGCTCTGCACAGCCGGCCTGAACGTATGGCTGTCAGCACTAGCACTCATAGGCTTCAGAATGCCTTTAGTCCTAGAGCGATTGCTTTAATAATGAAATACGTGAGGCCTTCAGCTGGTTGGCATGGCCTGCCTAGAGGCCAGGCTAAGTACCCGCCTGGGTAGGTTCCATAGCAGACATTGAACCTTCTCAAGCTTCATCCCCCTAATGGTTTTGAAATCTGAAAGCATTAAACTACAAAATAAAGAATATGCTTCCTTCCTAGTCACTTCTCTGTACCCTTGTCACAGGACTTTGAGTCACTAAAGACTTTTTTCTTCTTTGTATGTATTTTCTATTACATTTTCTATTTCTACACAAAACCATTACTTTGAAGGTCTTGAAACTTCACTGGAGTTTATTTGCACGGGTAACAAGTTGGTCAGAATTGTGCCAAAAATAACATGGCACTTTATTGAGGATCCACAGCAGGGTAGTGATGTTTCTCTAATCTGTGCTCAAAAGCCATTACTCTTGCCATGTAGAAAGAATAATTTCTTGGGTGATGAACAAATATCTGCTTGACAGACTTTATTACAATTTGTGTTACGAGAAGTGTAAATAGCTAAGATGTTCAGTTGCATTAAATAAGAATGAAATATTCATGTAATAACGAGGCCATCAATAAATTTTACTTACCCACGGTTAATGAACACAGTAGTGTGTTCATTTATTTCTTACTGCCCTAGTTTCATTTGTTTGTTTCTAAAAGGTTTTAGCTGCCTTGTACTCACTTTCATTCACTCTTCTACTATTCCAAAACATGATTCCTGCAAACTCCTCTTTTAAAGCAATGCCAGGCGCACACTTGACCCCAGCCCTTTTCCTTCTGTGATGTGAAAAGGCACAAAAGGGATTTTCTGTGAGATACTGAAATAAATGATTCCAACACACTTCACTTTAGCTTTTAAATACAAGGCTTGTTGTGTTTCTCTAGTTTTAAATAAAATCAACAGTTCTTGAGTAGAAATATTTTACAAACCATTTTAAAGCATTATTATTTCTCCCAGATTTAAACATCTTCTTTTCTAAAAGACTTATTCATTGAATTCTACTGTTCTTTTTCCTTCCCTCCACCTCCTTTTCATTTTTCCAGTATCAGATTCATTTAAGACCTTATAAAGTTAATTATATATGCAGATTAGAGCCAAAGAGCACATAAAAATGTAAGACATTGTACTCAGTCAAGGCCTACTGTGCTTTTTGGTAATGAGGAGGGAGACATGATTCCAGGTCTGCTCAGTGAAGGCGTAAGTGATGATGCTGCCTCCTCTTGACTCAACAGGTGTGGCTTTCCATGCTGCCCCTCTGTCCTCCACACGTTATTCCCATTTACAGCTGAGGATAAGAAGCACCTGCAGGATGTAGGAGGGCCAGCTACCCAAAGGGATTACAGCTGCCAGAACTCACTGGCCACTGTCTTTTTTTTTTTTTTTTTTTTTTGTATTTTAGTACAGAGTCTACAGGGTGTTACTACGTAGATCAGATTCATAGTGATCCTCCTGTGTTCAGTCTCCCAAGAGCTGGGATTACAGGTGTGCCCTACCATGCCCAGTCTCTGGCCACTGTCTTTTATCTCCCTACCTGAGACCAGCCCTAGCCCACCTGTGAGACCACCAGAATTCAAAGCCATGCTTCCTGCTCGGTGTCAGGCCCAGGGCTTGGACTGCCACTGTGCCCCATAGCTAAAAAGTCTCTGTGACTGACCAGTCATGCCCAGTGCCCAGCGGCAGTGCCATGCCCTGATCTCCCTCCCATGCAGTGCCACCTGGGTGACTCGTGGGCCCAGATGCGCTCTGGTCTCCCTCTGAGGCAGGCCTAGACTTTGTCTGGTCTCTGTCTTTAATATGCAAGTGCAGTAGCCCACATCACCAGCGGTCAGCAGCCTGCCCTCGATGGGGTGGCTTTGGGAGGACCAAGGGAGCGCTGAGTCATGGAGCCAAGCTAGCCCAACAGTGTGAATTCTAACTTATCCAAGTAATAAGGCATGGGCCAGATGAGTGCAGGAGCCTGAACATTGCAGGCTGAGTTGGAGTTCTAGTTCCAAGCTCCAACTGTGAGTCCTTCTTTGTAGTAGTAGTACAGTTCTGTAGTGTTTAGGAGGAATTTCAGGCACGATTTTTGATAGGAATTTTCAGATACAAACTGTTGACAGTCAGTCTTATTGCAGGCCATCGAGACTCACTTGATCCGGAAGTCCAGTGGTGGGCTGACCTACATCGCAGAATGGAAGGGGGGCCTCCTGGAGCACAAGATGGGCCACCTGACCTGCTTTGCTGGGGGCATGTTTGCACTTGGGGCCAGAGGGGCACCTGAAGCCCTAGCTCAACACTACCTGGAGCTCGGGGCTGAAATCGCACGGACATGTCACGAGTCCTACAACCGCACCTGTGAGTAGCTGCGGGCCCTGTGTTGCCTGAGCCCCGGGCTTTGATTTCATTCCATGTGGAAGTGGGTCATTGCGGCATGAACAGTTTACCAGGCCTCGCGAAGTGTGATGGCCGGGATTCATGTCTCAGAGGAATTTATATTTTCACTTGAGAAGGCACTGTTTCATACTTCAAAATATACATCTGTAGTTTGCCGTGTAACAAATCCAGGCCAAAAGCAGTGAAGCCAGAGGAATTATTGACCCCTGCTTTAGCAAAATAACACTGAGTAAAGGGCTGTCCCAGAACAAAAAGAAGCTGTTTTTATACACCATTACTAATCTCCCTACCCCCAAAGATGGACCATGAGTCTGGCTTGCTTTTTATAAAATACAAATTCACAGTGCAAAAGCGGAATACCTATAGCCCTGTGCCCTGATGAATTTGCAGCCACTCGGCTTCCATCTAACCAGACGGCCTGTGTCTGTGCTGACCCAGCAGTGCTTAGCAGATGGGTTATGTGGGGAAAGGAGAGGAGTGCCGCAGGTTTCTAAGGTGGAATTTTAGATGTTTAAACCTGAAAGCCGTGCTGAATATTAGATACTCATGGTGTTTATAACCTTCCCTGAAGGGGTTGCTTGGGCATCATCTGGAATCTTGGTGAGTGGTTTCTGGGAGACGCTGAGGCCTGCCAGGATGGTGTCTCTCACTCGCCCACTCATTTCTCCTCAGTCATGAAACTGGGACCTGAAGCCTTCAGATTTGATGGCGGGGTGGAAGCCATTGCCACCAGGCAGAATGAAAAATACTACATCTTGCGGCCTGAAGTGATCGAGACCTACATGTACATGTGGCGGCTGACGCACAACCCCAAGTACCGGAAGTGGGCCTGGGAGGCCGTGGAGGTGAGACTCAGCTGTGTGTGCTTACCAAGCCACGTTGGTGAGAAATGCATAGCAATGTCTATGAATGCGGCGTGTCAACTCCCCGTGATGTGTGTGTGTGTGTGTGTGTGTGTGTGTGTGTGTGGTTATGTTGAAAAGGAGGCTTGCATAGCTAAATTGATGAGCTACAGGTTATACTCATAAGTGAAGTCAGTCAGACCCGTGTGTGTGAACATCATGTTGCCTCCTTAGCGTAAGAACCTGAAAGAGTAAATAGAGCCTGAAAGGTACAATATAGTAAAAGGAAGAGAAACTGAGTATAAGGAACAAGTAATCCCCGTGATTATTAAACCCTTGGCCAGAGGTTCCCATCCAGGACCAGGTATCCCCACCAAAATCATTCTGTACACACGAATTCAGCTGTGCTTTATAAACAGCAGACCTAGTGTGATGGAACAGCCTGGAAAGGCTCATGGATAGAGACAGTGATTAGCAGCAGGGTCCCCAGGTACTGGCAACCTTGGTGGGCTACATCCTGTCTGTAGCATGGTCTAAGAGCCCTTTTGAGGCATATCCTTTTCGTCCTTGGAGTTTGTATTGATAGTATATACTTTTACCTAAGGTAAATTAGCTACTTGGATCTGTCAGAAATAACCTGGAGAAACCCGAGTCTGAGTTCTTCCCTCGTTGCCTGGGGTTCTCCGGGTATCACATGGGTGCCCTCCTGCTGGATCCGCTGTTTTCTTCTCAACTCACATGTGGGCACGCTGGGTGTTGGGTGCTGGTGCAGAGCAGGTGCCTCAGGATGTGCATAAACTGTCTGATTTTAAGCTGTTCGAAAGAAGAAGGAAGTCCAGGGGTAAGAATGAGCGACTCTTTGATTGCAGTCTCATGCTGTAGCAGTCTTTGTTGTCTTTACAAACTGTCGAGGAAAAACTTGTCAGGAAATCAAAATGAATAGCGTCATCTGTTGCCCTGGTATAAAATCCTGCTGTCTTCAAAAGTCATCAATGGATCTTTCACAGTAGCCTCTTCAGTTGGTGTGTCTCATCAGTAATTGTCAGTCATTTGAAGTAAGAATGTTTTAAGTATTTGCACATGCACAGTTTTCTAATTATGTTCAATCTGTGATAATTCCCCTTTCTTTAAGTTCCTGTTTTATGGACTCCTCTAAACTTTGGTAATACAGAATTGTTTTAATCTTTTTTTTATGCATTTAGTACAGGGGAGACAGGGTCTACAGGACCTCACTACATAGATCAGACTCAAGTGATTCTCCTGTTTTCAGCCTCCCAAGCGCTGGGATTACAGGCGTGCGCCACCATCCCTAGTCTGAATCGCCATCTCAGCTCACCCCAGGGGCGGGACTGGCACAGCAGGCTGGGGATCAAACCCTGGCTGCTGCCCTCTGCCTAAATAGGCACTTTAGGCCGCTGAGCTATCAGGCTGGCCCCAGAATTGTTTTAATCTTAAATTGGCCAGCAAAGGAATTAAAAGTTTGAGTTGCACGTATCAATGGAAACTGAAAATATCAAAAATAACATCTTTCATCAAATATAGCACACCACAACTGATAGAATTGTAATTTTCTGTACCACTAAGAAACCATTGATTGCCCATTGATGAGTGTTTGAAGGTGGAAATTTGTGGGAAGAACAGCTACAAGGAAGCCCTGTCACTACGTGGGAAAAAGCTGCTTTGCCTACTGCTTGGGAATATGAGGGTTGGCTTTGCCTTTGCCAACTCTGTAGCAGGACCCAGGAGGTGAGCCTCTGTCCCCGTGTGTTAAGCAGCCTGGCGTTTGCCACTGGTAACCCCTGAGACCCAGTGAAGAGTGAGGGGTGCTGGAGTCTGTGCCTTTCCCTGTCACCCCAGAAGAGCCTGCAGCACTGCTCTCCCTGGGAAACCAGCCTCCTCTGTGTCCCTGAGGCCGGGTCAGGAAGGTGAGCACCTCAGCCACTGCGGCTTCTACAGGTGACCATGCCGCAGAGCTGGGAGCATTGGCTCACCACGGCACCCCCTCTGCAGGGCCTCCTGCCACCACCTTTCTGCCTGTGTCTCCGGAAACCCAGGCTAGGACCCCAGGAATCTTAACCTCACCTCACACGGCCTTCTTTACCCCAAGACTCAGCTTTATGCCCTGTTCGGCTCAGACTGGGAGTAGAGCAGAGTCCTACCAGGTATGGTAACCTAGCCACTGCCATCAGGCCTGCTTCAGTGTTAGAGACTGGCCCAAGCAGGGTGCTTGGTGCTCTGACCATCCTCAGAGTGGGGCAGCAGTGGCTCCCACAACTCCCCTGCCACTTACCTGCTAAGTGCGCCTGCACCACGCTCCCCTGGCCAGACTCCAGCCTTGTTCTCCAGGGCTGAGCTTGAGTTTTGCATAGCCTTCAGGCCGGCCCTTCCTTCCACAAACTTGGAAATGACCCACTTTCAGCATAGGCTGGGTCTGGGCAGCCCCTCTGTCCCCCAGTTGCCCCTTGGCGACCCTTGCTGAGAACCGAGAACTGCAGTCCCTCCCACAGGTGACAGGTGTTCAGCTCTCAACACCTCCACAAGGTCATGCCACGCTCTTCTCAGTAAGTGGGTGAAAACCCACTAACTTCCTCCAGTTCGGCACCCAGCCACCCACAGGTGCTGCTTGACAGTTGAGAGCCATAAATTCAACAACCAGTATGGAACATGAGCTTCCCAGGCACTCATCCAGCCACTGCAGCAGCTGCCCCAGAGCTGTGCCCCACCTGTCTTCCTCTCCCTGACCCTGAGCTCCCTGCACTCGCTAACACTCCGAAGGGGTTACCTCTTCCCTCCACACCTCCCCGAGCCAGCCTGCATCTGTTTCCAAACTCTATGCTGTGTTTGTGTTGCCTGGTTCTCCATTTTCTGTGTTTTAATTTCCGAGAGAGTCCTGCCTTGTAACCCAGTCTGGCCTTGAGCTCCTGGAGATCCTCCTGCCCCAGCCTCTCAAGTGGGGTAAGGAGGAGCAGCACCAACCCCCACTGGGCAGAAGCTGCTAGCCATCCTCGCTTCCTCCCTGCTGGGCTTTGCAGTCTTGAGCCAGATTTTCTTCCAGATGTCTTTCTAAGCAGTGAAAGTTTCTCAAGAAACATGGACAAGTATGTGTTTTTAAGAAAAAAGTAGGACAAAACTAATATATAAAAAAGACAAGATTGTAAACCCTCAAACTGAAAAATGAATGAAAATGACACAGAGAGCTACGATTTATTTAATCATAAGTAGTTTTTAAACTTTGCTGTTTGTGAGCACAGTCAATGAATGAGACCAGATTCAGGAAGCGATTTCATACAGTGGGGATATTTATTTTGCCTATCGTTGATAAGACTAGCAGGATGTAGTGAACGTGGAATAACTTGCAGAGGGGCGTACACTTGGTAACTAGCAGAGCAGTAGGTGTAATTTCAAAATGCAACAGCAACAAATACAACTCTGGAAGGATTTAAGGCTTAGATATACACCTGAAACCATAAAATCCCGAGAAGAAAACACTGTGGGAAGGGTGCTTTGTGGCAGAGGCCAGAGCTGTGCAGTTTGGATTTAACGCTGACATTCTAGGCGTCAAGAGCAAGATGAGCGTGCAGGACTGTCTCAGATGGAAAGGATCTGGATCGGACTAAACGAAAAGCCGCCTCCAGAGTAGAAAGAACAGAGGCAGCCACAGTACAGCTCAGGATGTGTCCCTGTGGCTAAGTGACACAGGACAATGTCTGCGGAAGGGGTTAGCATTTGATATATGGGAGGAACTTACAGAACAAAAATAGTTTTTCAAGACTGGTAAAAGACCAGCATAGACATTTTCAAAGAAGACATACAGATGGCCAGCAGGCATCTGAAAAGAGGCTCACTGACACTGTTCGTTAGAGAAACCTAACTACGAGGTGACATCACCTCACTCCCAGGAAAACGGCTGTCCGTGAGGAGTCCCAAAGCAACCGCTATCATGGGGATGAAGCTGATCAAGGCTTTGTGCGCTGTCACGGGATGCAGAGTGGCAGAGCCAGGATGAGAAAAGCAGCCACTCCTCAAGAAAAGGAGCCAGACCACTTCAGCAGGGCGCAGGGGACAGGGCTTGAGCCCCAGCGTTGCAGGGCTAGTCCCATCCCAGGACCCACTGAGGAGGCGATTGAGACAGGGCATGGTGGTACATGCCTGTAATCCGAGCACATGGGAGGCTGTAAACAGGAGGATCACTAGAGTCTGACCTACGTAGTGAGGCCCCGTAGACCTTGTTCTGAATATATGAAAAATTAAAAGAAAGAAATAGAGCTAGAGTCCTCTGAGGGAGCAGACACAGAGGATAGCCATGTCATGGTTCAAGATCCACAGAAGGCACCACCCATGAGTCTGTCCACAGATGTGTGACTGTGGAAGGTGGCACACACATGAACTCTGCAATGGTGCTCGGCCTTTAGCAGAAACAAGGAAACTCGACCATTTTCAACAGCGTGAATGAGCCTGGAAGACACTGTGCCCCCCAGAGGAAGCCCAGCGCAGCAAGCCAAGTGCTGCAGTACCACTGGTGTGTAGAATCTAACAGTTTTGTAAAACTTCATGGAAGCAGAGAGTAGAGTTGCAATGAGGCGGGACTGAGGGATAGAAGAGGAAGGGCAGTGTCGACAGAGGGCTTTCAGTAGTAGGGTGAGCAAGGCAGAGGCCCAGCACGCAGCAGCTGTGCACTCGATAGTGTAAACACCCGGAAGGAAGTAACTGTGAGGCGACAGATGCGTCGATCGCAGGAGAAGGGGTGCAGCTGACACCACGATGCCAGGTGAACAAAACCCCACAAACTAAATGTCCTATGGCTTCTCTTCTGAAGGAAACCTGAAGTGTAAGAGGATAAGCGAGTGAAGAAGAGCAGGTAGGAAATCAGGCACACTCTTTCAAGTGGGGGAAATCGGGGAGTGGGAGGAAGTGACCCACAGCCACCACGTGTGCTGGCGGGTAGCTCCCTGAGGTGAGCACTCAGACATGCCCCCATAAAGGAGGCAAGTGTCATGTTCATGCCCATGGCCTCGGTGGCAGGGCGCACTTCAGTGTATGCCTCAGAGCGAACATCACTGCTGTGTGTAATTTTTATTATACATCAGCAAAGCTGGAACACAAAAAGAAATAAAGGGGATTATGGAAAGTGGGAGAGTAGCCTCAGTCAAAACAAAAGGCAGGGTGCTTTGCTACCTAAATTTTCACCCCTATACTACCTTTCCTGTCTCTTTTCCAAGTATGTATCTGTCATGTCCAGGCAACTGCAGAAACAGGAGACTATTCATCGTTGGGCAGTTGCTAGTGGATTCATCGCAGTTTGTTTTCATGCCAGACAGTGTCTTACTACCTTGTACTTGCCTCCTTTGGCTCTGTTACCAGTATCACTCCTTCACAGTCGGTTATCAGTTTGTAAGAATAAGATGATCCAACTGCAGGAGCATCATTTAAGTCCAGTACACTTCTTTGGCCAGTGGTTTAAGATCCCAGATGACAGTCTCCCTCGCGTCAGCATGAGGGCCCAGTCCAGGTCTTGGTGCAGCCACTCCACCCTCATAATGTAAAAGCAGCCCAAGGAACATGGGAACAGTGAGTGTGGTTGTTTCACGGAAAATGTACTGGAAAAATGAATAGTAGACTGCACGTACCCTGCAGTCCTTGGTGTGTCAAGCCCTATGGTAGACCATAGGAGAAATTGTAGAAATCAGTATAAAATTACTCCAATACTAAATGCAGAGTGTTCTGTATATTCTCAATATGTCACTTAGCTTTTTTTTTTTTTTTTTTGGTACTGGGAATCGAACTCAATCTCGAGCTTGCCAGGCAGGCACTGTGCCCTGAGCTATCTCCCTGGCCCTGGCTTTTCATATTTTATTTGCATTTCTGCTCCGATTGTTTTTTGTTTGTTTTTTGTATTTTTGGGGAAGGGTTTACAGGGTGTTAAGGGTCTCACTACTAGATCAGACTCATAGTGATCCACCTGTTTACAGCCTCCCAAGAGCTGGGATTGCAGGCATGCACCACCACGCCCAGTCTCAACTGCCATCTCAGCTTGCCCTGGGGGCAGGGCCAGCAGGGCAGGCCTGGAGATTGAACCGCCAACCCCTGCGCCTGCTTGCAGGTACTTTAATCCACAGAGGTATTTGGCCTGCCCTTTTAATTGTTTTTTTAAACTTTGCATCTAAAACCATTAACAAGTTTCCACCCACTCGGTGCATATGGATGTAGCTGACCTGACACCCAGGAGCCCAAGTCCCAGCTTGTGATGACCTGTTTCCCTTTTTGTTGCACAGGCTCTGGAGAGTCACTGTCGGGTGACTGGGGGCTACTCTGGGCTGCGCGATGTGTACTTGGCTCACGAGAACTACGACGATGTGCAGCAGAGCTTCTTCCTGGCGGAGACACTGAAGTAAGTGGTGGTCCTGTCCAGAGTGTGGGATGAAGCTCCTTGGCGGCCCTTCCCTGGTGACAGCAGAGTGTGACTGGGTCTGTGAGATGCATGGTCAGTCCTTCCTGAGCACGGTGGCTCCGGCTTCACTGTGCCGTCTTGGGGTTGGGGCTGTACCGCTGCTGATGCCGCATCACAGAGGGTCCCGCCAGCCCAGGACACCTGTGTGCTTCCCTGCAGCTGGGCTCATGCACTCCTGTTTCTCTCTCCAGATATCTGTACTTAATATTTTCCGATGACGACCTCCTCCCCCTGGAACACTGGATCTTCAATACTGAGGCACATCTCCTCCCTGTACTCCGAGCAGATAAAAAGGAAGTTGAAGTAAAAGAGAAATAAAAGGACAGCTTCGATTTCCTTCTGCTTCACTCCCCTCACTGCATACCTTACTGGGTCCTGTCCTGGTAATCAGCACATGATGAACTTTTATCAATAGTCTATGGTTACTCTAAGTTCTCAAGTTGTTTTGCAGTCTTTTGTGTTTACTCTGAGACATAACTACATCTAAATTCCTGTTCCTTATGCAGCTGGTCAAGTCCCAGATTTTGGTTCTCTAGTTTGTTTGAACAAGCTTATCACTGTGGGTCATCAAGGTGTGGCATCATTTCTCTTAATGGAGTACACTGCTATTCCAGTGACCTTCATTACCATTTGGTTTGACTGCAAAACTTTTTCCTCCTCTGTGAGGAGAGGACGTCTGCTTTAAGCTGTACTGTTTTGCCATGTTGCAAAAAGCCATAATAATAAATGAACTATTAAAAAGCTTTTTCCTTTTCAGTATCACATGAACATGGTTTGTCTATCCACTAGAGACAGATCTTATAACTGTGACAGCCTCCTTATGCGGGTCTATCATTACCTGATAGAAAGTCTCCTTACACGCCTTCCCTCACCTGTGTCTCAGATCAGAAAGTCATCCCAAGAGTAGCCCTGCATCGCTTCAGCTCATCACAGCCACAGTATGTTTTGGTGGGGTGATGGCATTGCTGTTTTCACATTGGTGAATTTGGTCTCGTTTTACTTTGAGTGTCCGGTGTCATTTCTGGGCCGAGGACTCCTTAAGTCCTTCCGTTCCCTGCCCCACAGCCAGGTGAGCTCTCAGGCTTGCAACTCTACCAATGGGGAACAACAGTTTTTAAAGGGAAAACATGTCTCTGTTAATGTGCTAGCTTGGCTTTTAACCAAGTAAGTAAAGCAATTTGGTCTCTATGAGAGAGAGATGATTTCACATGGCTGTGAGTGAGTTCATTTGTTTTCATTTCATCTTACATTTTTGCTTAAAGAAAGAAGCATTCCATTTGGTTCAGGTTTTTCAAGTTTGAAAAGAATCTTTTCTCTCAGATGCAGTAAACTATGTCATTTGAAAGCAGGATTTGAGTTGGTAAGATTTGCCAACTTATTTACTCGTAGAGAGCCTAATAAACTCTTAGTCAAATAATATATTTAGTGTGGTTAAGTTAAACATGATGACTCCAACTTGGAAACAGCATATAGCCCCACAGTTTTTCTGCAGCCAATCAAAATAATTGATTCTTATAAATATTAAGTTTTGCAAAAGAGGAACGTTTCTTCCCAGAATAGATCTGTGAGAGCCTGGGTCCTGTTGTCACACTGGCCACACTTCCACAGGGGGCCGGACCCAGTGCCATGTGCATGAGGGCCCGAAGGCTCCAACAGCCTGAGTTCCCACCAGAGAGTGGTTGGGGGCCACCTGCTGGTCAGCCCAAGGCAGATGCGTTGCCACGGTCCTATGTTTTAAATTTAAAACAGTCCAGGGTCAGTAATTTCACATGGCTCAGCTCAATATTTTTAAAACAATTTTTTTTGTAGATGTCTTTAGACAACATTTTTAGCAGTTTCAGCTTTGCAAATGTTTGAGGTTTTCTTCCATGAGACTGGTTTGTATGGCCTATTTTGGTTTTGTTTTTCAGTATGGTTTGTTGGCGTATTAGTACATCATTATGGCCCCACTAATGCATCTGTGACCCAGAACAACTTTTATTCATTTCTACGGACTAGAAAGTCCTTTCCCTTAAAATTTAAGGAAAAATAGAAAAGATTACGGCCCAAATTGGTTGTACTTATTTATAGTTCTCACATGAACATCCTTGGACTAGCGATCTACATTAATAAACTTTCTTTGCATTTCAGTGTGACTCAAAGGTGCACATAAGCCGACCCCCTACCCCTGTGGCAGGTAGAGTGTGAGGTCAGGCTGTGTGCCCCCCACTGTCCCTGCTGGAGCCCTGGCAGAGAGAGGACGCTGTGCACTGCGTCGCTCTGCCATGGCGAGGACAGGCTTTCAGTTCTAGAACTTGCTTTTTTTAACCCAAGTCCCAAAACACCAAAAATGTAAATGAGATCGGAGATTAATATTATAGTGATGTAATTTAAAGTTATATTTTGTGTTGATTATGTTACATCTGAAGTCTCTAGGGAGACACTGTCTTTCGTTCCTTTTCACCAAAACTGCAGTTCAAATGTCGTATGTATTCACATCCTTAAAAGTGAGCAATTTAAAGAGCACTTAATTTTGTGTTTGCGCAGTGTGTCTGGATACCTTCATGCAGCCGATATCACATACGTTGTGAGCCAGTTTCCAGAACTCATGACTTCGCCTGACCTTTACATTTGTGTTGCCCAATTTTACACTGATTGTTTCTGATGTGTACACAATTCCATTCTGTCATTTCCAACTTTATATAAACTTATAATGTTATAAGAAACAATAGATTGACACATAATTTTTAAAAATTATATTTGTAAAATTTCTCTATTGTGAATAAAGTCTGTTAATATATCTCCTCATGTGTTATGTTTTCCTTTCAAGTGATCTGCGTATCTAGGGATGTGTCCAGTTGGGAATGCAAATCCGCACTGACATTTCCCGTGAACACCTCACGCTGCGAGCCTTGCAAGAGGAGCCTTGGGTCCGCCCAACGCCTCTCCAGGGCTGCAGGCCCAGCGAGCCCGGAGGCCGTGGGAGCCGGCCCGCGGCGCTGACCCTCGCCGCCCGCGCAGACTTGCACACCACCCCGCACGGACGCAGGCGCGCAGCTTCGCGGCAGCCGGGGGAGCAGGAGCCGTGCGTGTGCGTGCGTGCGTGAGTGTGCGTGAGTGCGTGCTTGCGTGCGGCGTGGGGGCAGCCGGAGGGCGCGGCTTAGAAGGCCTGGCCCGGGCGGGCCTCCCATGTTGAGAGGGCCATTGTCAAATTCTATTTGGGGGTGGTTTTGTTTTGTTTTGTTTCAGACATTCTGGTTGCCCTTCCTGCTGTCTGAAGGCCACCCAGGCCTGGAGCCTCCTGCCCACCTTCCACCGCGCTGCGCTTCCGGCCTGAGAGAGCGCGACTGCAGGTCAGGAGAGGGCCGGCGCCCTGGCGCGGCCTGCCTCATTTCTCCTTACTGTTTGTTGTCTACTTGCTTCCTTCTCTGCCTGTTCACGGGAACCTCCTAGTGTGTGCGCCTGGCGGTGAGGAGAGGAGAGGAGAGAAACTGAGCGTGCGCCACGCACGCCACGCACGCGGCACCCACGCCCTGTGGTTCCCGCCAGGCTCAGGCCCGGCCCAGGTCGCCGCCCGCGGCCGCGCACAGGCTCGCTGGGGGAGTGTGTCAGGGAGCGCCGCCTTGTGGTCGGCTCCGCTGTCTGGAAATGCCCTTTAGCTCGCGCGCTCGCTAGGTGTGCTGTGGCTTTTTATCCCTGAGTCGCCGCCTCCCTCATACAGAAATTCAATGAACAACTTCCATAGAATGAAGCAGAAGAATTCGTTTTCCCCAACAGTCAAATAAGAGCCTGCTGAACCCCATTATTCGCAACCCAGATGGCACCAGTTGTATTTGCTAGTGACAGATTTGTTAAAATTCGTTCTGAGTGTAGTGCTGTATTTACACTAGTCCCCGTTCACCCACACGGAGGCAGCGGTGCAGAAACCAGCACATCTAATGTCTGATTGCTTAAAATTCTAAAAAGCACACTCACGATGAATTATCTGGTCACTTAGGGGGAGAAGCACATTTCCCTCATCACCATTCCAACTCCTGGGCTGTTCCTCAATGCGAGGTGGAACAGGAAGCCTTACCCAAGCCCCTAACTAACTCGCAGTCCGGAGGCTGGCTGTGGCTCTTGCACGCCCGCTCCGTCTCACCAGTCAATGTGTGAATCACTGGGCAGGAACTGATTGCCCGACCTCAGATGCACATTCAAAGCACACGTGGATGTGTGGACAGCACTTACTCAGCTCTTAGCGCAAACGGATCTGGCTGGGGGAATTCCCCACCGTTAGGAACTGTTTACAATCCCTGCTGTGGGCTTTGATGCTCAGGGGTAGGGGAAAGTTTCATGCTAATGAAAAAGGAGAGGAAAGTGAAGATTGAGTCCAACCAGCCTTTCCAGAGTAAAGGTGTGGTAAATTCAGAGCTCACCCTCGGTGGTGGAGCCGCAGTTGTGCTTCTCTCCTGAGACGTGGGCTGTAGGTGCCTACCACAGGATGTTTTGTAAGGCTCTTAAAATCCAGATTCCAGAGTCTTCCCCAAGTTCAATAAAGCCAAACTGTGATGAAGTTCCAGCATATCCATATTTTACCATCTCTTCATGTTATTCTGATGTCTTGTGAGCATTGACAACCACCATGTTAAGGTATAGGTGGATGAAAGTCCCAAGACTAGCGGAGAAGAATTGATGAATGAATTTGTGAGTCACAACAAGCATATGACTTTAATCTGTACTTAGTGTCTATCTCGAAGTTTAAGTACAGCTTAGTGATTTTGATCACTTCAGAAGCAGATTCATCCTTTCACAAAAGTGTTCCTGAGCAGTGAGCCTTACACCTGAGTCTTTTAGAAACACAATCACACTGGATTTTTAAACATAAGCTTCTCCTATTAGGGGACTCTCAGAAACCTAAACTTCGGTCATCTTTTTACTTCGTGATTTTTTCCTTTGCTTTCTCCCCCCAGAAGCTGTTTCTAAAGTGACTTCTCAAGGTTGTTCTGTTCCTGGTGATGAGAACATGACTATCACTTGCACACCCTCCACAGAATTCCTAGCTTCTGCGTGTCATGAAAGTGTGCAAGATGTTCTTGGAAAGAGCATTCTTCGTCTCCTCCCGCTCTGACCACCAGGGCTTGTGTGGGCATTTCCATGCTGATCATCAGAGACCCCTGGCTCACCATTAGAGTGAGCCTTTGGAGTCCCCTTAGAACAGGCCATTGCTTACTGAATAAATTAACTTAAATTTAAGTCAGATCAATTTAATTCTTTAATGAATGCAAATTACCAATAAACATTAGAAATAGTGATAGATGCACAGCTTTTTAAAAACTTCCATGTACTGGAATATTGTAGCCTTAGGCTATGAGTGCAGTTATTTCACAGCTCTACGAACAGGGCCATAACTGCAGCTTCTCAGATCACATTTTTCAAAATGATTGGCACCTGGGAGCTTTCTGTTTGTTTTGTTGCATGAACTTTCTTAGGAGAAACCAGTGGATAATCATTCCTAGACGCTCGGGAACTTTGATCCCTACTTTGCTGCTCTTGGAAGTCTGTGGAAACAGCACATAGGTTGAAATCCTGTCCTAGAGCCAGGTTGGCGACCTCCCACCAGTGTCCTGAGACTGGGACTGCATGGTGGTACCAGCCGAGGAGAGACAGCCTTGTGAGTCGGGACTACAGGACACACTCTCCTGCAGGACAGGACGGCAGCAGACTGTGTCCCCTCCTTCCTTCGCACCCTGCCTTCTGTGGTGTACCTCTGCCGCACTGTTAAGTAAACTTAAACTGCATTTCACTCCTTTGCCATCTTGTTTTTGCCCAGTTGGCACCTTTGGGATTACATGGTCTTCACCAGGGCTGCCAAAGCATAGACTATCTCTCTCTCACACTCTCTCTCTCTCTCTCTCTCTCTCTCTCTCTATATATATATATATATATCACTGCATGCAAGATATACATATATATATTATCTCCTGCGTGCAGTGTAGTATAGTAGAGGAGGAGACATGCATTTGGACCAACGTGGAAGCTGAGCTCAGCAGCAGTAGAGACAGACAACTGGACTCCACATGGCTGCAATTGGCTACCAGTGGGGTTTCGCTCTCCAGGTCCCCACATCTCAATGTCACCAGTGCAGTGCAAGGCATGAAGAGCCCAGCAAAGCTGCATGCTCCACCTTCAGTGGCACCTGTACACGTGCTCTGGCACCAGACAGCAGTGCACCACGGGAACCTGCCCCAACTACAGGCAGTGAGATGGGCACTGTCACATCTCCCCAGAGAATGAACAGCCAGTATAGTACATACACATCAGTCTTTCGTGATCCAAAACTCCAGAATTGGAAATGTCCAATGTGGCAATGTCCTAAGTGCCTGCATGACACCACAGTGGGCAGTTGCACACCATAGCACTGTTTCACAAGGGACAACATTTAAATTACTGTATAAAGCACCCTTGGGTGATATGTCTAAGGTGTTTCTGTGTCCCACCCTCTAGATACCTTATTATGGGACTAGCCTGATAGCTAACTGGATTAAAGCACCTGCTTAAGCAAAGCTCACTAGCCAGGGTTGGATCCCCAACCTGCCATGCTGGCCTGTCCCCGGGGCGTGCTGAGACTTCGATTGAGACTGGGTGTGGTGGTGCACATCTGTAATCCCAGCAGTGCTTGGGAAACTGAAAACAGGAACATCACTAGGAGTCCAATCGACGTAGTGAGACCCTGTGGACCCTGTACTACATACATTTTTTTAAAAAACTCATTGTGTAAATGTAGCCTATTTTATAGATGTCTCCAAGGCTGAGCATTTCCTATAAGGGACATGCACCCATGCAGGGAGGAGGCCTTAGGCCTATGCCTGAGGAGGCGCTGAGCTCGGCTCCCACCTCAGCCTGTGCTGTGTGAAGAACTCACCCATGCTGCCCTCGGGAGCCTCAGCTTGCTCAGGTAGGACAGCACATCCGCTGTTGCATGCACCAGTTCCGGCCACCCTTGGCTCTTGGACGCCTCCCTTTGTCCAGACTGCTCCAGCCAGAGTCTGAGGCCAGGGTCCAACTGCTGCCCTCTGACCTGGGAAGACAGGAGAGCTGGCTATCTCCCTGCACACCTGCATCCTGGCTGAGTATCCCCATGTATTTTTACTGAAGCACAGAGTGTTCTGTGAGCATTTGTAACAGAAGAGAAATTGGACTAACTTGCACTATCGATGCAGTGGTGACAACACTCACCAATCGAGTCCTTGGTGTCTTCAAATAACCCAGTGAAAATCAGACAGCAACTGCAACAGTCAAGCACTCCTTTCAGACTGAAGGACAATTTTATGTACATCCCGGACTAACTTTAGAGACCAACAAAATCAATTTTATGAACTAGGAAGGATTCTGAAATAACTCTTCTGAAAGAGCCAGGATAGCTTCATTTATAGTCACTTAAAAGCAACCGCTTCCAAAGGAAGAAGAGCCATGACTGACTGAAGCTCCCTTCCTCTGCCATGTGACCCCAGGTTCCACAGCACCGGGGACACGTGCAGCAGCAGTGCCGCCTTCTGCAGAGGGTGAGCCAACTCTGCACCAAGCATGGCCACCACTGTTCTGCACTGAGCATTCACAGCTCCCTTAACCCACCTTCCACTTAAATCCCCCACAAAGGCCTGTGAGTGAGCACCTGGCCACCACTTTTGGAACTGCTGGGCCCGCCCCTCCAAGCAGTGCTAACTGCAACCGACCCTATTTTTAGTGAGCATTTCTGTGTTTACCATAACTGTGAGATGCCTGATTATAATCTGTCATTAGGAAAATTACATAACTCTTTTACA